TCACTCAAAATCTTAAACGTTGTATCAATATATACATTCATGCAGTATGTATAAGTGTATGATTTAACAACTGAAAGGTTTGTTCACATGATCTAACAACTCGAAACACTGTGTACATCAATAGGGTCGAATTAACCTTTACAAGCATCTCATTTAATTGGCTCGAAACTCTACCAATATCAGCATAGTCGGTTTAACCTTCACAAAATTAACGAATTAACCTTCATAGACATCTCATTTACCTGGCTCTCAAACTTTACCCACATTAATATGGTCAAAATAACTCTTACAAACATCTCAATTGGTTGTTTAATTATATATTTTCAATATATAATTAGACAACAGCCTCAACATTTGGGGTCTAAAGGATAACCCATACACATTGATGTTTGTATGATTAGGGTAAAGTTGAAACTGATTGGATTTCAGATAACAAGATTGATGTAATCATAAATCAATTGGTCTACTTAAATTAGCATGGCTTGTTTGGCTACTTCATTCTCTGGTGTATATATCTAAAGGCACACAAATCATTTTATTTTTTCCTCATGAAGCAAATTGAGAAATATAAGAAATAACATCCATAAGCTCAAGAACATCAATACAATAAAGATAATTCTTTACACACACTGTTTTAAAATGTAACTGAAAAAAAATAATAACAAACATTTAGAGGAGAAAGAAGGGAGTTTGTATTGTTTTCTACCTACTCACCTAATTCATAAAAGGATGATTTCTGTTGGCCAGAAAGTTCTATTAGATATATTACTTGAAGCAAAGCTTTCAAAGTAGAAGTATCAACTTTTTTATTTATGTATTATATTATTATATAAAGATTCTTAAACGATAATAAGGTCAAAATTCAAGATTTTCAACTTCGACTAAGAGCCAATCATATTTTATTTAAGTTCGCAAAGTTGAATTCTAGAGTTGGATGTGGGATACAACGGGGACATGATTTCTTGATTTTGGGATTTCACCACTTTTAGGTCAATTTTCAAGCTAGCTTTTGAAATTCTTTACGAAGTGATATAGGGTATTTTGGGCTTCGTCTGACCAACTAAAACCCTATTTGGGTTACATGAGTGGGCCAATGAAACTCAAGTAACATGGCCTACTTCTTTTTCAGCCCAAATCACAGTTTTTCCCTGACCTTTTTCTTTTCGGTCCACCTTTATATGCTTCTTTCACTGCCTCAAATCATGCAAAAAGTGAATGTCCTTTCTTAGCTTTGCATTTTATTTTATTTATTTATAATCATCACAATTATATAGGGCACCCTAGTGCATGAAAAAATAATAGTGCTTATGTAAAAAAAAAACAAGGGAAAATCCTCAGAAAATTGTAATCTTATGGAAGAACATCCCTATATATGTCATGAATGTGAATGTCATCTAAAAATATGATGCTCATTTGCATAATAGGAATGTAAGCAGTTAAAATGATTTCTGCAAATTTCATCTGTACAAAACTCTTTCTATAAATTAATATGTTAAAATACATACTCACAACTCACAATAGATATTTATCTAATCTTATTTTCAGAATCTTTTTAACGACTACGCATATTTTAAAAGTGTTCTGCAAATGCTTCCTCACACTCTTCATCTATGATTTTTCTTCCAGTTCATAATTTTTCTTATCTTCGTAGAACCACAAATTATTTTACGAGCCAACGTAACCATTAGCCGACTCATTATGATATTCAACAAAAAATACAGACTTGTACCATGAAATGTTTACTCTCATCTATGTTGTTTTTTATAAAGTATAACATTTCAGTTTAACTTTATGCATATATATTGACAATATATTAGTATTACTAGAACCTGCCTAAAAATAGGTTATTGATGTAGAAACTAGAACACCTTGATTTGTTGCCACTTTTAATATGCTTTTTTNAATTGAAAGGGCACTGTTTGCAAACACTCCCATGAAACACTTGAATCATAGTGAAGAGTTTCTTTTGCTTTTTCAGACAAATGCTTAGTCACACTTCCAATGGATTAATTTATACAAATTCATGACATATTTTCTCAGTACTTTATCCTTTTTTATTGTTAAACTTTATCAATGTCATGTGCATTATATTTATGTCCCTGATTTGGAGCCTAAATTTGAAGCATATGAAACTGAAACTGTGCATGAAATAACATTAAACTAGCTAGACATGTGATGTGTTTGGTTGAGCTTTCATTCGTCTTTTATCAGAATTTAAAAAACCCAAAGATAAACTGTACGGGTTGCAAAGCAAGATTAGTTGTTAAACCACTCAATCTAATCTTTAACAGAATCTCAATTTCAAATAGTTACTTGATCAATTGATGGGGCCATGGAATTTCTTGCTAGACATCGACAATTCATGAATTTAAATGTCATACTTGTATTTATTTTGTCTATTAAATAGCATTTATTGATAAGAGTATACATATTTATAGAAAAATTAGTAATCAACCTGTGCATTTGCACAGAGAAGAATACTTTAAAAAGATAACAATATAAAAAAAATAAAAATAAATCATAATTTAATTCATGAAAAAATATGAATTAAGAAAATAATTCTCAAAATTGATTTTGATAATGTAATTGCTATGGAAGAGCCGTTACAACCATTTTCTTTATGCTAATATATCCGGCCATTTTCATGAGTGAGTGTGACTTAAAATTTGAGTATAATTTTGTAACTTACTTGATTGGTTTATGATCATAATTTATGACATTCAAACAAGTTATTTTGTAACTTAAAAATGATATTGAATGTTGAAAATTTTGGAGGGATAATAAAATTTAATGCATGATAATATAATTAAATGTTATGTTGCTCCTCTTTACATATATATAGATTAGGTCAGATTTAATGATTAAATCAATCTAACAGAAAACCTATCGAAAATTTGAAGCTAGCCAATCAAAGTTGGTGAGTTATTTTTCATTCTTCATGTCTGAGCTTACTTAATTTGCACTCTTATAGACTTAGGCTTCCTCATCAACTCGATCATATACTTCTAAATACACCTCCTATCGAATCTTTTTAACATCTGTATCAGTTATCAAATTAGTATTCAATTACAAGTTCAAAAGCCATTCTACAATTTTTTTCAGAACTTTTTCACTACTATTTTGATTTTTCTTGATCCATGATTCCAAATATATTATTAAAATAGTAAAAAAGTTCAAACTGCAAACACACTGACTATTTGCACTCGAGTTTTGCTTCAAATCAAATTCTTCCAATAATAAAACAAACATATTGTTGAAGCATTCAAAACTACCTCATAAGCTAAAACAGTTTGTCTAAAAATTACATATTTCAGTGTTGGACAAAGATATTTTACTTGAAATTTCAGACCAACTTAAATACCATCATAAAAGCTGAATGACCTTTCTAACTTACTTTGCATACCAAAAGCCCATTAAGTCACATCACAAAAGATCCAATTGATGGGTATTGACAATGATCCAATTTATAATGAGCTGAATACTGACTAGGCCTGAAAAGATGTGCGGCTCAAGCTATGAGGTGCTAAAACTTGAAACATCCTTTTAGGATCTTATCTAGATATTAGTCCTGATTTTGAAACCAGATTGTTGGAAGTTTTAGTAATATAAAATTTGTAAATAAAATGGGGAAAATTGATAGAGGATGTTATTAAATTAAGTTCTCATTAACATCATCCCCCTCGTACTTTTTTTTAACAAAATTGCATACTTATGTTATAAAATGACATACTAATATTTATGTTGTTTTTTAGAATATGACGCTAACTTTGAAAGTATGTAAATACAACAACAACAACATACCCAGTATATTCCCAACAGGTTGGGGTATGGGGAGTCAGTTGTACGCAGACCTTACCCTTGTAATTATACAAGGAGGCTGTTTCCGTAGCGACCTAAGGTGCATTGCGCCGTTTGATATATATATTTTTTTTTTTTTCTAGAAACTTCACTAATAGAAGAAGCACTAGAATTTAATTGAGCCATTTTGATCTAGTCCATTATTAGCACTATGTCAGGAGAATTGTCAACAATGACTCTTCCAGCTCCATTTGCAATGGAGAAATATGTAAATATGTGTTGGAAAAGTAAGCCTAACAGCAGTCTAGCAATCTTACTGTTATCTGAAAGCTTAAAGAATTTTAACCTACTAAATTTACAGTGCTATAAAGTGTTCAAGAAAAAATCAAAGCTTAAGCCAAACAATCTCTTAATCTTTAGGGATGAAAAACGAGGAGCATGCAAAGATGAGCATGTATGAGCACATAAGCATGCACCTTATATTTCCTAGTTAAAAGTAGGGAAAAAAAAAAAAAAATTGTCTGGATTTTTACTTGGAAAAAAAGTATAGTTCACAACCAAAAATGTCACACATGCCAAAATAGCAAACACAATTATGATATAAAGAAAATATTTTGATTGGAGAGGCTTATCTGGGCTTCCGCCGAGACCCTCATACTCGGCTCTACTCTTTCGTTTCATAGCCTCCGAGACTCGATTGGTCAATCTCGTGTTTATTTTCAACCAACGACACATAATAAAAGAAGTTTCTTGAATTGAATTTTTAGTCCTGCATCAACCATAGGAAACTGCATTAAGCACTTGATATTATCAGTTTTATACGTGTTTCCATGCATGAAGAGGAACTGCTGTAAATCCTTACTTTTTCCTAACGAGCACTAGGCTGCCACAAACGTCTCAGGGCTGATCAACTGAGCTACTGTCATCTAATGAGAAGCCCTGAAAAAAGGAATCCAGGATCATTGTTTTAGGTATGAAGTACAATAAATTCCCAAGGTTCAGTCTTACTACAATAAAGGGGAAAAAAACAAAAATGCCGGCTATTTTTTAAAACTACAAATATCGCTTTTTTATTCCTGCCACTAATCTGCAATGGGATTATTTCTTAAGCAAATACTAATATCAAGATAATCATGCATATAAAACATTTGAAGCATAATAATAATAATATTATAATTGGCTTGACTCGGGTAATTGTAATTTGTACATCAGATTGAATGAGCTACATGGATACCGTGGTAAGTCACAATTGAAAAGGGCAGATGGATAAATACCTCAGGCGGGTCAAACTTAGCTCCAAGATTGCTAAGCTTAGCATGAGCTTCAGCATAATCGTTGAAAAATGCATCCTGATCGACAGCATATTTCTCTGCATATTCCTGTACATGTAGTTCTGTATACGCTCACACACTAGAACTTATATAAGGAAAGCAATTTTGTTGGATGGCGCCCATCATTTCACCTTGAATGAAGGATCCTCGAACAGAACAGCATCTGTCGGTAAAACTAACAGTTCTTCATCCCTTTTTTCTTTGATATCCTAAAAGCCAATCATATTCATAAGCAACACGGCTAAGCAAATTCGGTTAGAAAAATGAAACCAAATGTTAAATCATATAATGCATTACCTTAAAGTAGGAATTATCGAACTTTAGCCACTGCACTGTCCATGATTGTCCTCCAGGAGCTCCTGGTCCGTCTTTCTGCCTCATGCAAAGAACTTGTCAGCTAAGAGAACATTCAATTAATCCAATGTGCATGCTTTCAGATGTGTACAGCCAAAACCTGATATAATGCAAATCAAAGAAGCAAAAGAGACTCTGGTTTTCTATTATTCCTCAAAATCTTGTATTCATAAATCAATTATTCATTAATTCCTTTTGAGGACCTAAAGCAATGCAGTACTCTACATAGAAGAGTCCTCCAAAATTTCTTGGAAAATTTGGAGATCACCTTGAGTGACAGATTCAGCACTCCTCTTCTTCTAATTATCTGTATAATCTTACAAGAGTCTCACTCCACATATCCTATTATGGATTTACGAAAAAGAAGCCTGAAACATTTTACTCCTTGACCATTTATATCCTCAATCCTCACCTCCAATTTCCACCAGGACCAAAAATCAAGCTTGCACATACATTGCCTTTATATTAGCAGTTTTTTCCCCTCCAGGTGAAAGAGTAATGAAATTAAAACAATTTTGGTATATATATCTCCAGGTACAGCATCTTCAATATTCTACAACACTAACTTCATAGTTCATAGCCATATGCAAAAGAGAAATACCCAAAATCTTCTATAAGTTGGTAGCAATGAAATATTGTCGCATGCATATTCACTTACCATCAGACTGAAATTGAGTCACTGAGTGTTCAATTACGGGCCCCACTCATCATTCATACAGTTATATTTTTAAGTTAAGGGTCATTCCAGGCAATCAAATTCAAGCCAGTGAAAGGAAAAGAAATTTAACCAAATACGACAACCAAACTCCCTGCCATGCCAGAAGACTTGCTTTATAATGACCTCTTTCTCAACTATAATTATAGTAACATTCTTTGGAATCAAGTCCTCTCTTAAGTCTTATCCAACATGTAACATATTTTAACTTTCAAAACTAATGATTCTTGGCTATTCATTCTTAAGTAGAAAGTGATTATTGGAACTATAAATGATAAAAGCTTTATTCATTCTTGCTTTATAATGACCTCTTTCTCAACTATAATTATAGTAACATTCTTTGGAATCAAGTCCTCTCTTACCCAACATGTTACATATTTTAACTTTCAAAACTAATGATGCTGGCTATTCATTCTTAAGTAGAAAGTGATTATTGGAAATATAAATGATAAAAGCCTCTTTGCTACCGTATATTTAGTCTCAGGTTTGCCCCACCCACTACGATCCGGCCTTGACCTTCCAAGAGTGTGTGCACCCGAAAGAGCAACTATTTCCTGGTCATCAAGAACCTTCATTAGCCATCACACTATTAGCCATAACACTATTACTGGAAACAAATATCAGGTTAAATAAGAACTAATACCTTATCGCTCAATCCCATACGGTAAAAGACATCTCGCAAATGAGCAGCAGGTGACGGAGGACCAGCATCTAGTAAATGAGTTATCAAATGCTCATTGGTCGTTAGATATGAGAATTATATCGCATATTATAATTATCTGATGAATAAGAATAAGACAGCATGTATTGTATATCATCCGTACAACAGAAACAGGCTGTGAAGAAATAAAGTATAGAGTTAAGGCAGCACAAATAGTCGAATACTGTGATTACTGAAAATTAATTCTTTTATTCCTCTTAAAAATGCTACATTACTCGGGCATACTTCACAGTATCCGGCTCTAACACGAAATTAAATGCCATACATGTTACCTTTACCCTAGATGATATTAAACATGCACACTGTAACAAACAAACTTTTGAAGTGCTACATCCAATTTACCTGGGAGCCTTCCTTCTTCTGGGCATTGTTCAGGTCCAGTTACGTCTACTCTCCCATATTTCATAGGGATTTTGGGTCCCCCAGCTTCCTGTTATGATAATTTGTATCAGCCAGAAGCTGCTAAAACAAATTCTTATTCATATTAAATCAAAGTAATAACCTCTATAGCAGTAGCACTAGCCAATTGAAACAAGTCTGCATAGGTCACACTAGAATACTTGTCCTTGATGGGCTGAAGAAGTTTAAGAGCATTGACAAGCCCTGTCCAGCTCCAACTTGTCGTGAAACGAAATCATATCTAAATAAACACAAAATTCACAAAAAGGGTGTTGATCCTACCAGCATTTGCTCCATGGTTTAGTTCTATTTCAAATCTTAAACTTCCATTAGCACCTCCCCTCTTTGGCCACTCCTCAATATTCTTGTTATATGTTCCCGCATCATGCCAACCCAGTCGAACCTGCATAAACAAGAATAAGAATAAAAACAAGAACAACAATGATCCGAAATCAACATAATATTTAGCTGGTCCTCACTTATGTTGCAAATTGCTCTACAACTAGAATAAAATAACGTCATAAGCTAAACAAGATGAAGCTTGACCAGCTCAACATAGCCCCTGCATCAAATGTGGTCATGCATAAATAAACAATGCTAAAAGTACTAGAATAGAATATCTGAGGCAGTTGATAACTTGATATCTAGAAAAATGTATCGACCACTAACAGCATAATTTCAACAGATTAGCCTATGTAACTCTTCAACAAATTGAGCAATCAAATAAACGAGTTTGGGAAACATAATTTCAACAGATTAACCTATGTAACTCTTCAACAAATTGAGCAATCAAATAAACGAGTTTGGGAGAAAAAATCACCATAATAGGGTGACAGAACTTAGTCTTAAGCAGCTCCTTTATATCTTCACGAGCACTCTTCACCTGCTCGGGGACTGACGCCGCGCATTTCGGCGACACCACAGTCGAATAACAAATTCTCCGGCTCGAAAGCGAAAACCCTCGCAGAGTGCTTTTCTGATTCATTTTAACCGAAAAACAATTAGAATCGGGTGAGAAGAAAAAAGGTACATAGAAACCGGGTAAATAAACATAAGCATCTATCTACCTGTTGAAGAAAACGGCGAGTACGAACAGGAGACGATCTGATGGAGGCGGAGCTGAGAGCGAGCGAGGAGCGGAGTGAGAGCCTGGCGGAGGCGGCGGGGAGGAAGCGGGCGGCGGCTGTTCCGGCGGCTGCGGCGGCGGAGATAGAAGCCATTTGAGCTGGTGTGTGAGTGATTGCTAGACGATCTGTCATTGGCTATGTGTCGCCTTTGGTGCGTGGAGAGTCTTGATTGGGCAGGACTCAGGAGTATCTACGGTTATGTTTCCTCCAATTTTATGAAGTTTGTATACTTCACAATGCTCAGAATGTAACCCACTTTTTCCTTCTCACTCTTAAAATGGTATGACATTGCACAGTAGACCAAACTGTTAAATAGTATAATTTTAGATAAAAGCATTCTCATCATCCTTAAAATTTACTCTAATTTGGAGGACTTCACTTCGGAGTGTTACCATTTGATTTGATTTACCTTTTTTTTTTTCTATACAAAACTAAATAAGTAATCTTTTGAGAATGTGAATGAAATATAAAATCGATTGGAATAATAAAAATTATGGAAGAAATGCATAAAATGATCGGTTGCTGACATTCTTTTTAGATAGAAAAAAAAAATGAATGATACATTCTTACATTCTTAGGAAATTATTTTTAAATCACAAGAAAATCTGCCATTTAAAAAAAAAATACAAAGTTCCAATTTCATTTGATGCATTAATAGATAAATGGCATATTTTAAAAAATAACATAAATAACCGTAGAACATCTTTTTTGGTATAAATATGCATTTTTATTGCATTATCATTAAAAAAGTACGAAGAATTAACCCTTCTAGGTGGACTCAAACAAAAATAAATTTGTGCAGGAAAATTCAAATTTTGAAAAGGCAATTNAAACAGCCCGACTCAAAAAAGCCAATTGAGACTGATATTCCCGAGCCAAATTAGTAGCGGGAACTGTGCCAGGGCAATGAACAGCAGCAGATAATGATGCCTGCTCGAGTCGTAACTCCTGACCTCGGCAAAGAGGACCCGTTTCATAGTCTTCACCAAGAAAATCCCCATGCACAGGCAAGACCAAGGCAGCATGAAGTAGTAAGAGTAGCTCCAGACAAGTTTTCCGAGCATGGCCATGGATAGGCCCGTGAACGTGTAACCTGCGTAAGCCACCATGTCAAGGAGTGGAGCTTCACCACTGCCCAGGGAGAATAAGGTCATTTTCAGGAGAGTGACTTGGAAGGACCAGCCGACGACCCCCTTGATGAATAACCAGTTTAGGGCCTCTGGGCTAAACCTGAATTCGGCAAAAGAATAAAAAAAATGTTGTATTTACAACTTTCGGGAGGTAAAGAGGAAATAAAGATAACAAAAAGTGAAAGCCAAGTGACTGTCTAAATTTGGGAAGAAGTTGACAAATTTCACAACAGTATGCAAGTGAAAAATTGGGATTACATTTTGAGCATTGTGAAATATATGTACACATACACACATAGTTAAATCCGGTGTTATTTTTTTTTGGGAGTTTCACTACTTAAAGTTGACATGCATGTAGGTGTGATAGTATATATATTCTCTGTACAAGTTTGAATGCAGCCACATTCAACTACAGGGGAAAAAAGAACGAGAGAAAATTGGGATATGCATAATGTGAGACAGATGTCAAGATAACATTACTTAATAGTGATGGGAGTAAATAAATTAAATAAGTATACCAATGTAGAGAAGAAAGGAATAGAACATTGATATTTTAAGATGACCAACTAGATAAAGAACTTGTTCTGCCAAGATGAGAACAACTCAAATAGGAAAGAGGATAGAGATTATGTAAAGTGATAATTAAAATTATGTGAGTGGATGAATAGTGAATTAAAGTTGATGTGATGTGTAAGAATAATTGATTGGTATTATTTAATTATATTGATAATATTGAGGATAGTGGAGTTGGGTTAAAGTTGAGTTAGATTTTGAGTGAATTGAGATAATTTATAAACAAACACACCCTCATATTTTAAGATGACCAACTAGATAAGGAACTTGTTCAGCCAAGATGAGAACAACTCAATTCTCCAATTCAGACTAATCTACCAAAAGCCGAGGCAAGAACCAAAAATGAATTGAAGGAAAGAAAAAAATAGTGATCTCACTTTCCATGAAGACCCAATGACAAGCCCGCCAGAACCACATAAGTACCGAAAGCCATGAATGGTATGTAAAGGTCCGGTGCATTAATATCGTAAATAGGAGGTTTGTAGGAGAGCCTTCCACCAACTGGTTCTGAGATTCTTGTCCAATGGCCCTGATACAAATCGAGCAATATGAACACACATATCTTCAATGAGATAGCATTATAATAAATCGAGTTACCGATAAATACTGTCATAGAGCCGAAACCTTACCCTGTGGAGGAATGGGAAGAGAACAACCTTCAACTTATTCTTCACATAATGGTCATTAACTTGGAAATAGTATTGAGGATCAGAAAAATAACGGCTGATCTGTTTCACCATAGTTTTCAGAAAAAGAAAAAATAAAATAAGAAAACAAGATTTTAAACCAATCTTCATAAATGGACAGCCACTAACTAAAGAAACTAATCTCTTTTTTACCGGCTTCATCAGTACAGCCCCAGTGACGACAGTCTAACTAAACACCTTAAAATATACAGATAAACGTCATCACACAAGCCTCCTTTGTCCACTTACATTGCTTTGAACATACTCAGAGCTGGATCCTAAGATTCTCTCTCCATAAGCACCGAGCCCACTTCTAATGAATCCAGAACTTGCACCGTAGAATGAACTGTCGAAAGGATTTGCCTGGGCATTGGGTGGTGGCCTAGGAAACCCAGCCTGTGCTCCAAGATTATCGTACATCTCTCAAATTATCAGGAAAAAACTGCAGGAGCATTAAAAAATTGTCAGAGTTCAACTACAAACGTAATCTGCAGAGAACAAAAAGAGGGGAAATGCTCGACCAAACAATCATTATATCAAACACATCTAACATTATTGAGTAGAGAAGCTTTCTTTGGTAGGCATCACTACCACACAATAGCTACTAAAGAATAAGCTCATAGAGGCATAACAATTGAACACTCTTCTAAATGTAGAAGCCGAAAACTATACTAATCCACAAACATACACATGGTAATCCAAAATAGGAACATCATCCTCACATCACATCAAGTTTAACATTAGCCCTAAAAACAGGAAAACCGAAAAGCTTCAAGCATTTATCCACATGATGATAAAATTCACAGTTCCAAAAACCCAATTGACTATTCACTAAGCTCATCCTAATGGTCTATGTTTTCTTCTCACTTATCAGGCCGCCTAACACAGCCCTTACACCGCCTAAGAGCTAGCACCGGTCTTGCCTCTAGCGCAAAAAACAGGTAAAATCAAAATTAGCCAAGTTAATACACAGATTAAAGCACTTCGACTACATTTCATCACACACAATGAATTTTGCACACGTATTTACGAGCGGATCAAGTGTGATACACAACAGGCCTGCTCAATCGCGTGCTCCGGTCCCCATGAAAAGAACGATAGAGAACGTAAATGGAGGTTAAAAGGCGAAGGGGAAATAGAAAATGAAAGACGGACTACCTCGGAGTAAAATCGCCGGCACGGCAGCGACAATCGGAGACTTTGATCGGCTGTGGGGGAAATGGAAATTTTGTTGTCCTTTTTTTTTTCTTTTTTTCTTTTTTTCCCTTAGATGGGCTTAAATGAGCCGAGCTTCGATTTCAGTCGAGTTACAATTTGGGTTGGTTATAAATGAAACATTATAGCCCAAAGTTTACCATTGTGGGTTGCTGATATAGATGAAACTTATGGCCCAATGACCAAAGCTCATGTAATAACCTTTTAGAAAACAACACAAATTAATCCTCCATACAATCACTATTTACGAGTTAAAGCGCGTGCGTGCATACAATATATCAACTCAAAAGAGTTTTTTCAGTTAATTAAGTTTAGTTTTAAAAATGGTGGTATAATTAGACGGTAGTGAAATTTTTAGTTTATATTAAAATAAAATAATTAAAATTGATTTGATATAAAAGTATGATATATATGATGTGAAGTGATGATTAGTTAAAGGTATGTGAATCGACGAATAATAAATTAACTTTGATGTTTTTTTTATAGAATTATTGATTGTACTATTATTTAATTATATTGATAATATTAAGGATAGTGGAATTGAATTAAAGTACTTGAGTTAAATTTTGAGTATGAATTGAAAAATTTTATAAACAAAAACACTCTAAAAGTTGTACTTGAGTCGAGTCAAGCTTTAACTGTTGATACTTGAATTCCGCTCAACTCGTGTTCTTATTGAACCGAGTGAAACTCGTTAACTAGATGAACTCGAGTTCGGTTTATTTATTAAAATTAACGAGTCAAACTTTAACTTTAACATGTCGAGCTAACATAAGAGTTAAAAAATATACGGGAAGGACCCTATCAAATGACTTGTCGAGTATTGTCAATTCACGCCATTTTGACCGGTTAGTCAAGTTATTGGATGAAGAGAAGGTTTCCAGTAAGGGAGTTGTTGGAGGTCACCAATAATTATAATAATAATAATAATAATAATAATAATAATAATAATAATAATAATAATAATAATAATAATAATCTTAATTTTAATGGCATATCCAAAGCCTTTGCAGCTAGCCTTGTATTAAACGTTTTGAGATAAAGCAGCAAATGAAAAAGCACAAGGAAAGAAGATCAAAGGTAAAGAAAATGAGTACCTAATATATTCTCCAAATTATTTATATACTTCATATTCAGGAAGCATGCTTTTGAATTTTGATGTTTAAAACACTGATATACTCTACTGTCTGTTCTATTCCTATTTAACAAGTGAAAAAAAAGTACTAACTTTACAAAAGAAATAACAAAAGAAGTTAGATAGGAAATGACAAGTGAAAACACCCCATATATCTATTTTTAACAAGTTTGCTGCAAAATTCTTGCAGCCTCAGCTCTCTGCTCACCACTCAATTCCTCCGGGAACTTGACCGAAAATCCGATTATCAAGTCCCCTCTCGTCATGGGCTCGTTGTGCTTCGGCATTCCTTTTCCCGATATTCTCTTTTCGTAACCGGGACTTATGACATCATTCACCGTCACGCTAATCATGTTTTGCTCGCCAAGCAATGGGACACTAAAAGTGCATCCGGTTAGAGCCTCAACGAGTCGGATATCGATTTTGAGCTCCAAATCATCGTCCCGTTTCGAAAACAATGCGTGTCTTTTCTCGGTTATTGTGAATACCACGTCAGCAGGGTCTGACCCTGACACCTCGTCTCCCTTTCCCTCGAACGTGATCCTCGTGCCCTGTCTCCAACCGGGCTTCACTTTTATCGTGAATGTCTCGTCTTCTTGCACGACTTGCCTGTCGATGTAATCCAAAAATCGAGACGTAAAAAATAGGATAAAATTTTAGTCCAAAATGAAGTTTAACCAAAATGTTGATTGCAATGAAGTATAGCCATTTTGCTACGTGAAATGACATAATTACCCTTACTACTAGAAACCATTTTTGGAGTTCCAGATTTCATTTCTGTTAGTAAGGGTAGTTGTGTCATTTCACAGGACAGAATGACTATATTTTATACTTTCACAAAAAGTGGTTGTATTTCGGTGATAGGGCTATTTATCGATAGTAGTATGAAGGCAAAACTGCATATTAATACACTATCTTTCATGTTTTTACAATCTAATCACCACTTTTGTAATTTTATAAATTAATACACCAACTTTACCATTTTTGCAAATCGATACATGAATGAATGACGGTTCCGTTAACAGAAATCTGACATGGCATTGGCGTGGCTTAATGTCATGTCAGATTCATGTTACATTTCTTTTAACGGAACCGTCATTCATGCATCGATTTGTCAAAATGGTAAAGGTGGTGTATTAATTTGTAAAATTTCAAAAGTGGTGATTAAATTGCAAAAACACGAAAAGTGGTGTATTAATATGCAATTTTGCCTATTACGAATTGAACTTTGATAGATGGAGTGAATTTACACTAGTTTACCCGTCTTCGGTGATGGCGTCCCTCGTGATCTTGATTTTCTTGACGCAGCCGAAGCAGAGCTCCTCGAGGCTGCAGTCGAGCTTCTGCTCGTTCGCGCGCGGCTTCACGAGCCCGTGCGAGTTCGAGTAGAGTATTGGGCCCGTTCGGCTCGTGCTCCTCGAGAAAGTGCGGTTGAGAGCTTCGTTGTTGCTCATGGTCCGTAGAAGGGAGGCCCGGCCCGGCCCGGCCCGCTTGCTCGCGCTCCTCGTCAGAGGCGAGAACGAGCCGTGGCTCGTGGCCCGAGATAGTCGGGATGGACCCGCTCCCATCCGGGCCGGCGGGCTCCACTGGGGCGAATTGGGCCCGATTAACGGCCCATTTGGCAGGTTTGTGCCGTTGGGCTTGTTTGGGTCGTCAATGTGCGCGCGTTTTTTGTCCTTGTCGAATTTTCTCTTCATGGATTTTTGGCTTTTGTATTTGGTGGCCTGCGGTGATGGATAGCGTTACGTACCTTTTAATCGATCGTGTGTGAGAATGTGGGAAAAAAATAACGAGATTTGTTTTTAACGTATTTAATTTTTCGTAAAATGCAGGTCGTTTATGTGAAAGTGGAACAAGAAATCTGATTCGGTTGGTTGGATGAGATTGTACCTTGTCATCTTGCTCCATGGATTTGGGCTTCTTCATCGTATTTCCCATTTTCATGGAGGGCATTGAGTTTTTTTCAGGGTAGCATTTGGAGAGGAGAAATCTGCATGCCTTGCAAATGCTTCCAAATCTTAAAATGTGGAACAAGTCTTGAGAATTTGATCTTGAATTTTCTACCATGGTGGATTGCACACAGAGAGAAAGCGAGAGAGAGAGACCAAATGTAATAATATTGGATGGTTATAGCATAATAAGAGAGAGAGAGAGAGAAAGAGAGACCCTAATGTAATGATATTGGATGGTTATAGCATAATATAGGCCTTTCTGTTTTGCAACAGTTGAGGAGGTTGCAAAAGGCAGTCTATATATTTGTTTGTAATAATAATAATAATAATAATAATAATAATAATAATAATAATAATAATAATAATAATAAATTAATAATAATAGTAATAATAAACTCTATTTACTTGCTAGAATAAACAAGGTTTTGTGTACAATTTAAAATATCAGCTAATGAATTTTAATGGCATATCCGTATAACATACTGATAAAGCGACCGCCTAATCTTCACATCATCGAAAGCCGAGATTTTGCATGCAGACACGCGATGCAAACCTACGCCCTTAGCTGACCTATAACATTTATTGCACCTTTACCTTTTTCTCGTGTATGAATACAGTTGCCTATACCCCTCAAAACACATGACAACACAACAACAAACGACAACGATCATATGTAAAAAGTATACAAATACTCTCAAAACACTTTTTTCAGAGAACTCTATTCTCCTTGACGAATTCAATACAGATCGGCAAAATCAACGTCTTTTATTTTTCACTTTTTTTTTTCTTTCGGCTTCTCTTATTAGTTTAATTATGGTTCTTTCTTAAATCTTGTATTTATTAGTTTGTAGCTCCCGATTAAAACATATCCCGAATCGTTAGCTGTTGACGTTCATAATAATAACAATAATAATAATAATTTTTTATTATTATTTAATTACTTTTAGATAATAAATTAGTTATGATCTCTAATAATTACAAGATTATATTATCTATTACATTTTATGAAATTAATATAATGATTCATGTGTAGTTAACTAATTTATATCTATACTATCCATTTACTGATTGTTGATACCCGAGTTGGGCCTACGAAGGATCCGACTCAATAATGGAAAACCGGGGAAGACGGCCTAAACGCTGAGACTGGTCTACACTTTTTAAAAATATTTTTAAAAATACAAAATTTAAAATAAATCATACATAAATGAGTCATAATCTAAAAAATAAAAATATTCAAAAATCGATGGAAAAAATATACCACAAACCATCTATTCATAAACCATAAAGTTAGTACATTTATACTTAAAAACAAAATCATAAACTAAAAAATAATAAATTTAAACTCAATGATAAAAATATACCAAAAATAAGTCATCCAAAAACTATAAAAGTTGGAATATTTTTAGCTAAAAATTAAAAAATATAAATGTGGGAACAAATAAAAAATTTAGGTGAAGGATCTAATTTTCTATTTTTATTTACTACATAATATAAATTCTTAAAAACTCTGGCAAACATGTGATCATTCAAAAACACTGAATAAACCTTGAATAAATGAATAATCGAAAAACTAAATAATACTAGTACAATTTAAAATAACGACAAAAATAAATTAAAAATCAAAAGTTTGCCTGCTATCCGTCTCTCAGTAAGTATTAGTCCAAAACGCGCTCGTCGTTTTGATCCCACGCCGCGTAAAGAGAGGTTGAAACTTCCAAGAACCAGCACGAAGATGAAAATTTATGTGGAGTTTTCACGCCGATACAAATACTATATTTCGCCCATGTCCCTCTGATCAAATTTCTGTGAAAACCCAAAAGGAGAATTTTGTTTTTCTTTTCATTTGGGAAGTAAAAAAAAAAAAAGAGGAGTCTTTTTTCTACACGTTTTGCTTTCTTCTGTTGCGTTTTCACTTTTCCCGAGCGATCAAATCTACTTTTTCACTTTTGTCCACCGCTTTGTAAAAGGAGCCCCTTTTTCCAGCATCAAAATCCGCCTGCGGTGTGCCGTGAGAATGCATCAGAAGGTGTACCTTGAAGCATTGGTGTTGTACCTTTTGACATGGGCTGCAATTGGTGCTCATCAACCTCAGAAGCAGCTGAAATCCGGCAGAGGCTCCGGGTCCTCTGTAATTTTTCCGGTCTCTGGGAGTGTTTTTCCACAAGGGTATGACACGGCTTTTTTCATTTTTCATTCCTTTTTCTTTTATTTATTTGTTTATACACTCCGTTTATAATATTGATTTGATCTTGAAGAGTGTTTGTGTGTTCTCTGTTGGTTACAATATGTTTAGCTGTGTTATTGTGTTTTCTTGGTAAGTTACTGCCTACTGTTCCCCGGGTGAATGTGATTGAGATTAAGAGTTCCTATTGATTTAGAAATGTGGATGAACTTTGAATTTCAGAATTTTTTTCTTGTTCTTTGTTAAGTTGTAGTGTTACTTTGCTTGTTATGTTACTTAGAAGTTGGTATCCTTCCAAGAATCTTAAGTTTGATACTTATTTGTGACTGCTCAAAACCCATTATCTCAAAAAATAGATATTCCCTTGCACTTTCCGGTTTAGAAAATATTTGGGGTACGTTCGATCATGCCAGTTTCAAAAAATCCCTTCGAGGCTATCACCATACTTAGTACAATTCTTTTAGCCAGTGATATCAAAAGGGCATCACTTGACAGAAAACTTGTGTCTTTTTTAGATAATCAACTCCCTTACATTCATAAAGTGTTTACCCGGAAATTTCTTTACTGTAGGTACTATTACGTGACAATGAGCTTTGGCAATCCCTCGAAAAAATATTTTCTTGATATAGATACAGGCAGTGATCTTACTTGGCTTCAATGTGATGCACCTTGCGCACAATGCACTCCGGTAGCTTATTCCATCAATCCATTGCCTTTTTCTTTTCAATATAAATACGGTATAATTGTTTATAACTAATGCTTATTTTGTATGTTAATGTGTTCTGTTTGTTCTCTTCTTTGTTTGAAATTTCCTCAGGCACCTAACAGTCTCTATGAGCCCAAAAGCAATCTAGTATCATGCACACATCCTGTATGTACTTCTCTTCAAGGGCCTGATAACCCTGATTGTAGGGACCCGAACAAGCAATGTGACTATAAGATTGATTATGCTGATTATGGTTCGTCCCTTGGTGTACTGGTCAAAGATTCGGTTTCTCTCAATTTGACCGATGGTGCAGTTGTGGCCCCACAAATAGTGTTCGGGTGAGGAACTCGCTAGATGCTTTGATTCTGATTTTGTGTTCATTTTATTTTTTCGGATAGTGTTTTATCATAGCGGGAAGTTGAAATGTCATACAGTGAGTGTGTTTGGTATATAAATACCGAAGAAAGCATTAATATTACGATTAAGCTTTGGGAAAAAACAGAATCACAAGTTGACATTTGAAAACCAACTATAAAAAAATCCACTTCCTTTTCCAAAAGCTGAGAAATAATTCAAGGGATTCATTTGACTTGTTTTTTACTGTGGTATAAAATAATAGAGCGTTTTATCATAGCTGAAAGTTGAATGTAATACATTGAGGGTGTTTGGTATATAAATACCGAAAAGAAGCATTTGTGTTACGATCTATCTTTGGAAAAAACAGAATCACAAGTCGACATTTGAAAACAACTATAAAAAAAATGAAAAATGCTACAAGTACATAATAAATGTACATAGAGGTGTACATAACACTCACATGGAGTGGGGTCCACTTAATTTTTTATTTTTGGTAGGACCCACTCAATGTGAGTGTTATGTACAACTCTATGTATAGTATTATGTACCTATAGCATTTCTCTAAAAAAATCCACTTCCTTTCCGGAAAGCTGACAAATCAATTCAAGGGCTTCGTTTGACTTGTTTGTACTGTGGTATAATAACTTTTTTCTCATTATGTATATGTAGATGTGGATACAATCAAGAAGTTATAGATTTAGCTAATCGGCCCTTCACTGATGGAGTCCTTGGGCTCGGGCTCGGTAATTCGAACATTTTAAGCCAGTTACGAGCCTTGGGTGTGACTCGAAATGTTGTTGGTCACTGTTTCAGTGGGCAAGGTGGAGGCTTTCTTTTCTTTGGAGATGACTTTCTTCCTAAATCAGGGATTACATGGAAAAAGATTTCGACTCACCATTTGTAAGTTTCATTATCTATAATAATAAAAACTCTGCAAGAAATCACCAAAACGAAGAAAAAAATAAATCTACCTACTGTTCCGAGGTGAAAAAAAAAAGATTTTTTTTTTATCAAATTACGAACGGCCCGAACGATTTTATTTATTTGATTTATCATGATTGTTTTAAGTAGTTGGTTTTGTTTTAAGAACTGGGTCGCTTACAATGTCCAGTTTTTGTATTCAGAAAGCACTATTCCTTGGGATCAGCAGACGTCCGATTTGGTGGTCAGCCTACAAATGTTAAGGGCCTCGAAATAGTTTTTGATAGTGGAAGCACTTACACTTATTTTGTCTCTCAAGCTTATAATGTCATTGTCTCTATGGTGAGCTGAGATGATGGTTCCTCGAACCTATATTTTATTCTTCAATTTCTTTTTTTTTTTAATTGTTTATTAGTTGGGGCGGGCTAATAAAGATTGCATATTTTTTCCAGATAAAGGAAAATTTGAATGGAAAATTGAAAGTTGCAGTTGAGGACAAAAGCCTTCCCATGTGTTGGAAAGGTCCAAAACCCTTCAAATCCATTCGGGATGCCGCTAGCTACTTCAAGCCTTTGGTTTTGAGCTTTACGAACGAGAAAAATGTTCATTTTCAGATGCCCCCAGAATCTTATCTCATTGTCACCGTGAGTAATTCTTCTCTATATCATTCTATTTAAAGACAATTATGAAATGACTTTTTTTTTTTCTGCCTTCCAAATTACCAAGAACTCCTTGATAATCATGTTTGACTTTGCAAATTATATCCTCAACAGGAGGCATATTTGTTGAGAAAAATCAGCTGTTAGCTGTTCCTTAAGAGTACATTTGTAGTTTAGACACTCCCATGACAATAAGAAAAGAACCAAAAAAAAAAAAAAAAATTCATGGAAATGAAGCTTTATTTGATATGACATTCTTTGATTCAGGGAAAAGGGAACGCCTGCTTAGGCATATTGAACGGCGATGAAGTTGGATTAGACAATATGAACTTGATTGGAGGTAGGAATTAAAATGTACAATTATCTGATGCAAAATATTTTAGCATACATTCTTAAATTTTTCTTTTCTTGGTTGTCTATCTTAATACAAATATGATTGTGAGGATATTACACTTATTTCTTTACAGATATTTCACTGCAAGATAAGTTGGTGATCTATGATAACGAACGGCAGCGGATTGGATGGGCCCCGGCAAAATGCAACAGGCCTTCAAAGTCCTGACCCAAACAAAACTTTTTATAAATGTCTATTTTTGTGTGTTTGCTTACAGCATTACTCGGCTGGCGGCATTCCTCACCCGAATCTTTTTTTTTTTCTCTTTTATTTTCTTTTTTCGTCTTTTTTTTACGGTTTTAACAGTGTGGTTCGTGATTATGGGGACGATTTTAGCCTGCCTTATCCTGCCGATAATGGTTTTTGGAAGAATATTACGACCAAGTTTTGGTTTGCAGTTGGAGCAATGCAGTAAGTAAAAACAGTTGATTTGTAATTTGATGTTTTCCTATGGAAGATCAGATATTGTGGTTAACCTTTGTGGTGTGTGACATTTGGTGTGTACATATATATTGAAATCTTTGGACTGTTACTAGCCTGTGTAAAATCTTTTGTGTAAACTTTGGTAAAATAGTGATGAAATGAATTGAATGGACTCAAAATATAGTAACGAATGCATTCATGGTGGTTACATTTTAATATCATAACTCGCCCCCATATGCCTGTCTAGTGCAAATATTGGATCACAATAAACTTTTTTCATAAATTCAGTTTGAACTTCTCTGAACTTTGGAAGTGTTATATAATGACTGATGTTTGCCTTTCCATTTTCATACGTTGTGGCACATGGTATGACTTGAAAGAATGATTTGTAATATGCCTGAATTTCTTTCTCGACTTTATTTCGCAATGCTCGTACGTATTGTTCGACGAACTGCTTCAACGATGTCTTTGAATGTACTTAACCATCAATAAAGACATTCATACTTTCACTTCTTTGAGTCGTGGACATTCTTGCCCAAAACGTGGATTTCAAGTAACAGGGCACCCATCCAATGTGGTTATCGAGCAATCCTTATAACCAATCATTCTCAGTGATATTTTTCAATCATTATTCTCCAGCCTTCCTCAAATTCTTTTGCTGATTGTGAATCATAAACTAAAACATGCATGGCTAAAAATGTTGCAGCTTTCTCTATGTGATATCCAAATTTTTCGGTTAACTTCTTCAAAATATGCCACAAACATCATTTATGGTTCGTATTTGGAAAAACTATTTCAATTGCATTTTGCATGCTTTGTCTTGATCACCAATTATTCCATTAGGAGCTTGACCATGCATGCGCTTAAGCCATGTTATGGATAACTGCACAAATGTATCAATGTCCTCATTCGATGCAAAACCACAACCTAACAATATTGATTGACCATGATGATTGAAGCCAAGGGGCAAAAGGCATGTCATATTTATTACTAAGATATGTTGTACCGAATGTAACGACATCCCCAAACTCTTTGCATGCTTTTCTAGACTTGTTGTCCGCTTGAAAAACATCCTTCAATCGAAAATTATCATCCAAGTCAATACTAAAGTGAAAACCTGAGCATATAGCTTACATGTAAGAAAAGTAAGATTGTATTGCAGTCGCATTCCTTTCGCCAAGTCTCAAGCGTCTTGCCTGTTCAACATAGTTACGTCAATCCTTCTCCACAAAAGTTATATTCTCATAGCAGCAAGCTTTAACAACTACAACGTTAAAACTTTTATGTAATAGTATTCATGCTATTTTTATAAATATGCATACTTATTAGCCAATGACATAATTTAAAAAACTCAATTGCTATTCACCGTCCCCCTTTTACTAGTCACCGCCCCCCCCC